AGTATATTTTTGCAAATTTTTTATTAGAAACTGTCACTTAAAACAGCGCAGACACTCTGTTTTACCATCCATTTGATGTGAAATAAGCCGAAGAACATTTCTTCTGAAGCAATCAAGTTGATAAACACATTATTTTTTGCTATATTTGAGCAAAACAGTAACAAGAAACAATACGATTTTTTTTCAAAAATTTGTGATATCGCTACACTATAACAACCATAAAAAATATGTTATCAACAGAACTGCACAAATCATTCAATTTAAGATACTCTTAACATGTAAAAATGATAAAAAAAATATTGAATTAAAAAAATATCAACTTTAATGTTTGAGGTTTTGGCCAGCCAGGAACCACTGTGCATCGGTCTGCTCGAGCCTGTCGTACTGTGTGCCAAAATGTTTGTGCAAACTCTCTGGGCGGAACACTTGCCATGGGATACAGATGCAAGAATGGTGGATGACTTATCGAACTGACATCCAGCAGCTATCGATCCTACAAGTTCCGAGAAGGATTCTTGCAAACACTTCTCGTCAATATTATCTTCACTGCTTTTGTGACGCTTCCACGAAAGGTTACGGGTGCTGTGTCTACGTCGTTTCGTCAGACGAAACGGGAGAGCTCCATAGTCACATTCTTACCTCGAAATCTCGTGTTGCACCACTGCGTGGACAATCCATTCCACGGCTGGAACTTTGTGCTGCGCTACTTGGAAGTCAGCTTGTGGACACTTTACATAGAACTACCGAATTCACAGCGCCAGTGACAATGTGGACCGACAGCACAATCGTTCTACACAGTTTTCATTTCCAATCGGGTGGCTGAGGTTCAACGACTTTCAAAAGCATTCGAGTGGAGACATGTTTCCACGGATTTAAACCCAGCCGACCGGATTTCGCGAGGTACCCTGGCAAGTCAGATTGTGAAAGACGATCGATGGTGGCATGGTCCCACATTCCTGCGATACCCGAAGGAGCAATGGCCAGAATCAGTATTTCCGACGCCAGATGATCAATTCGTCAACGAGGAGGCTCGTCGTGCCGTCACATTACATATCAGCACAGTAGATCAATAGCTCTTCGACCGATATTCAGAGCTCGCCAAACTGCTTAAAGGTATTACCTACTGCTACAGGTTTTACCACAACTGCAAGCTGCCAAAGGAGCAGCGCTCAACTGGATCACTGTCGCCTGATGAATGTGATCATGCGCTGAAAGTTTTAGCTCGTCTCGCTCAACGTTCCTCCTTCTCGGCGGAGGTCAAGAGGTACACTCTCCAGAAGAATTCCCCGACGCCACCGAATCTTGGACCAAAGTCCCCTCTTAGAAAAATGAACCTTTTCATGGACGAATTCGAGCCGGCTCCGGTGGTGTAGTGGTAAGCGTGACTGCTTTCTCACACCCCAATGGGTCTGGGTTCAATCCCAGTCGAGGTCGGTGGGATTTTTCTGAGGCATAAAAATCTCTGGTCACGTCTTCCTTCGGAAGGGAAGTACAGCCGTTGATCCCGGCCCATGTGTGTTGATGAATGGGTGCGATATCCTACGCAGGTGTGGAAGCTGCCTTCCTGCACATTCGATTGCCGTCAATGGATGGCAATCGATGTCCGTCGGTGATTGGCACTAGAGTGCGGAACAGAGACCGACGTTAAATAAAGGAAAAAAAAAATGGACGAATTCGGGTTGCTACGAATCGATGGTCGCTTACGCTACTCGAAGGCACCATTCGACACCAGATTTCCGAACTTGCTACCGTCCGACCACAAACTGAGCTTAATGGTCGTGCGAGCAATACACCTTAAAACATTGCACGGTGGACCTTCACTTCTGCTTGCTACGGTACGTCAACGATTCTGGCCACTCCGGGGTCGTGATCTAGCTCGTGCAGTAGCTCGTCAATGCGTCACTTGCTTTCGGAGTCATCCTAAGCTGTCAACTCAAATCATGGCACCGTTACCAGAAGTACGCACTACACCAGCACGATCGTTCTTCTATTCGGGAATGGATTACTGTGGGCCGTTTCTCGTTCGTCTGCTGAATGAGAGAGGCGCGTCGGTAAAAATGTACGTTTCGCTTTTCGTCTGTCTGGTGGTGAAGGCCGTGCACATCGAAATCGTCGCCGATTTATCCGCCGCGTCCTGTATCAACGCCGTGTAGCGTATCGTTGCGCGTTGGGGACGTATAGTGGAGCAACATTGCGGATATGCGACCGCTTTCGTCGAGGCGGATCGTGAGCACATCGCGTCGCGTAAAAAGTTCCTGCAGCAGTTCAAGGGCGACGAATGGCGAAACCATTGCTTGGACAACGGGATCAAGTTTCAGTTTATCCCCGCCCGCTCGCCACACTTCGGTGGCATTTGGGAGGCGGGAATCAAATCATTCAAATACCATTTCCGTCGCATCATGGGACTGAAAGCATTCTCGGTGGATCAGTTCCACACCGTCGTCACGCAAGTTGAAGCAGTGCTCAACTCCCGCCCCCTGTCGCCGCTCACTGATTCTCCCGATGATCTGGCGGCTCTGACGCCAGGACATTTCCTGGTCGGGGAACCACTCGTCGTATTCCCGGACCCAGATCTGAGCCACATCAATCCTGGACGGCTCAGTCGCCTACAGGATATGAAGAAAACGCTGCAGGACCTTTGGACTCGATGGTCACGTGACTATGTGAGCCAGCTTCAACAACGGACGAAGTGGAGGAAGCAACAAACCGATCTACAACCAGGTCAACTAGTTCTTCTGAAGAAGCCTCACGCTACCAAAAAGTCATGTAAATTTCGGTGCCCTGAGACCGACACATGCAAGCGGCCCAAATGACACAAAAATCAGTTGAAAGAAACGAGAAAATAAATTCAATCAACCGTACTTTTCGTCGAGTTGCGTATGTTTCGGTTTGGGAACACTTAATTTTACATGACATGTTTGTTTACGTTCCATAATTTACGTGAAAGATGGATTACGTCTCGTGTAAAAATAGTTATTTTTAAGTGTGCTGTTACAACTCTGCATTGAACAAATTCTAGAAAATTGTTTCGCTTAGCTGTACAAGTGCAAAGAGAAAATCGATGAAGAGAATCGATCATCGCGTATGCGCCCTTATGCAAGCTCACTGTCGAAGTGTAACCGATAGGTGAAATACAGTAAGTTGATAAGTGACCAGCAAATCGATAACATGTTTCAGTGCTAGTCCGAAAACCGTATTTGATCCGATCCGGCAAGTAGTTTCCCGAAACATTTACCACCATTAGACTGATGCAAATTTTGACATTTTCGCTCCACAGTGCGCAAACGGTTCCAAATCGGGTCCTGATTAGTCTCTCAAAATTTGAACTCATTTGAAAAGAAACTGACTTGGCACAAACCATTTGAAGTTTATATGGAAATTACTATGGGAAATCCAAACTTTTTGTTCATTGTCTTCTTACCTTTTTCCATATGGCACTGTTCAAAAATTCAAAAGCAATACTTATGGAAAATTTTCTCAGCTTCAACTTAGCAGAATGTAGTTGTTGAGCCAAACGTCAAATAAAATAGTTATTAATTGTTTAAGAGATGGATAATCTTATGGCATGATCGAGCAGCTGTTTTGTGAGCAACACTGTATCTTGCAGTGTGACATAGTAGCCATGATTTTTGTGCTCTATTCCAAGCGCTAGAAACACCAATGTTGCCTGCTTAACAGTTGATTGAGCATAATCGTAAGACATTAGTGGCTTGAATTATTGATAACTTTTGATGCTAACATTATATTGAAAAGTGGTTCAGGACTAAGTTGTAGCTGAGAAAATTTTCTACGAGCTCAGTTATCATTTTTTAAAGCAGAACTATATGGTAAATTGTTAGATGGATATGAACAAAACATTTGTTTTTCCCATAGTAATTTCCATATAAACTTCAAATGGTTTGTGCGAAGTCAGTTTCTTTTCAAATGAGTTCAAATTTTGGGAGATTAATCAGGACCCGATTTGGAACCGTTTGAGCACTGTGGAGCGAAAATGTCAAAATTTGCATCAGTCTATCCACCATCTGTTCAACGTACTACCCACCACAGTGTACTCAACAGATGGCGGTATTTTTTATAAATGATTCAAATTACTTCAAATCCTCTTCACAGGACATTCCGTTGTGAGATTCGATTAAATTTGAGGAATTTATGAAATTTGATTTTAAGTTCCATGACATTAAAAGTATATTTCAATATCAAACCGTATTTGAATTTCTAAGTAACCATATAAATGGTTACTTATTAAGTATTTACAAGCCAGTATTTGGTCACTATTTCCGTAATTTTAGTAACTAAAGTCATTCATTTATATTACATCAGCACTACCAGCCCTGTACTCAAATAATTCAAGCAGAACGTTGCATTAGGTTCTTAGTAACATTGTCAGATTCTCTTCGCCGCCTTTTCCTTTGTATCCCCACGGCCACGTAAGCATATTTAGCATCTAATACGAAACACAACAAGAAACGGTTATGTGCTCAACTTATTCACGAAAAAGAAAGTCGACGAAGAGAATCGATCAATGTTACTTAGGACCTAATGCAACGTTCAGCTTGAATTGTACTTCCCACTGGCCGTACCTTAAGAATACGGTGAGAGTTCATCCGAGATGACTTTTCTCACCTCACGCGCCGCGCAGAATAAGCCTCATTCACAATCCGTTGAAGTCGATTTGATTGCATTTGAGATAATCGATCAGAACTTCGCTTAAGAGGCTGCGTCAGTTTCCTGTTTAGTTTCCAAGAGTGTAACCTTTTTCTTATCTCGATGTTTTATGACAGGTTTTATAAGTTTCGTTGTTCAAGTTCTTCCGGAAGCACCATTGTTTGCAGTTTACAGGAATTCTGTATGTACAATTATCGGTACTCGCTCAAGCGCTTCAATTGGTGAAACATGAATTTCATTTTATCCGTCTTCCGAACGGGCATTTTCTCCTCGCAAATTTTAGTATGATGACCCTAAAAGCCGGCTAATGATCCTCTCCGCATTTCCACTTTCAGCATAAATTTCCCGCTGCCGATTAATTGCAATCCCGCCGATCACTACTTCAAATTGGTCTGCGATTACAGCCAAAACGATCATGTGGAAAACGATCATCATCATTTTCGGCAAACAGAGCAAGAAGTGGAGTACAAAACGAGGCACGAGATGGTGCGCAAGTGCCACATGAAAAACATTGGCAAAAAGTGCCTGATGGGACCGTACCACCAAAGTGATGTGATTGATAAGCTTTGTCGGTAGGGGAACCATTTTCGCTATTAAAAGTTTTAACGTTCATTTTCATATCACGTACGCGTCTTTGCCACCATTTTTTCCCAGAGATAATCACCACGCGTGCTGGCCGTCGCAGCTTCACCTGCTGCTGCACCGCGGAATCATCGACAGCGTCCGAAACATTCGGCAGCACGTCATTGTGACGCTTTTGTTTTTGGTAAGTTGTCCGAAGAGCAATCTGAGCGGTTTGATCCCATTCAAATGATGATATTTTCTTCCTTTCCATTTGCATCAATCGCATCTTTTCTAAAATCGATCAATTTGGACCCGTGGCGGTCTTAATGTGCCTATCTAGATCACTAGCATTACCATCTCGGCGCTTTACTTTCACGTTACGCCTAGCAGTCAGACGGCCATCCAAGACATTCGGGGAGCTCTGTTCCTCATAGTCTGCGAGCTGCTGTACACCATTAGCTATGCGGTGTTCTACGTGTTTCCCCAGGAGCTGCCCCTGCTGCGACGGGAGGTGGGCGAACGGATGTACCGATTGTCGGCGTATTATGCACATAAGGCACTGTTGACGGTGCCGAAGGCGATCTTCGAGTCGTACCTGTTCATCGGGATCATCTACGGGTGCGTGAAGTTTTCCGCCGGGTTCGCGACGTACGTCGGGATGGCTGCGGTTTGCACGGTGGCTAGTCTGCTGGCCGTTGCTTATGGTATGTGTTGGGTGCACTCATCATTACATCATTATCGTTAGATTAAGCCTTCTCTCCGTAAAGTGAATGCTCCAGTTTGAGCAGGTGTACCGGTTACAAAGATGCTCATGAGCTTTGATTTTTGACTATCGCCCACACCAAAGATCTCGCACATTGTAATGAACGTGGATTTTTCACACTACACACACCCATAAAAATTTACAAGCAAACAATTGCTGTCTGCTACAAACTGGCAACTAAGCAGATGACATTGCAAAAACTGAAGAAAATGCAAAATTGAATATCAGATGAATAAGGGATTCAAAATTTATACTAGTAAGGACGATGCAAATATTATTTTCATTTTATGTCCGACGTAACCGATAACCATTGGAACGTAGATCTAATTCTGATCTATATCCGCATTTGATGCTAATGATGCACTATTTGCTAATATATGGTTGATATAAAGTGCTAAAAAGGCGAAATAACGGGCCTTGCTAGTGCTAGTATGGTAGCGGATTGACGATTGCATGAATGATTCTTTTATGGCTTTATTCGTCTTGGATCCCGACGGGTTTATAAATTAAGGCTGTATGGAGATCGAAGTGAAGTGAAATTCCTACGTAAAATTCTCGATTTTTCACCAGCGTAAAAAATGTAGTTGACAAAAATGTCACTTCACTTGAACTGTAATGTGAAGTGACTCCAGTGAAATCGAATTTTTTGGATTGCATCTTTCTCGCTTACGTTTAATTTTTTCGAGCATGCAGCTGCTCGTGAAAAAACAGCAAATAAGCGAAAAGTTGACGAAGAGCGTATCTGTCAGATTATTTCTCTTCACCGGAGGTGTGAACTGATCGATTCAGTTTCACGTGAACTGTGAACTGCGAAAAGAGGACATTGGAATATGTTCCACAACCATTTTTTCACAATCTTTTTCGCTTGCGAATTTTCATGGTTTTTCACTTACTTCAAATTTCACTTCGCTTTGAACTGTATACTAGGCTTTCACCACAACTCACTATCTTATAAAAAAAACGTGTAGAAAATAGAGGATAACGGAAATAGAGTTGTTGGTTACGGTCGATGAAATGATCTTAGTAGCCGTGTGTAACTTTAAGAAACAAAACAAAGGACATTTGACATTTGATCGTAATATTCATTGTTTAGTAAATTGCAAAGCGGACTGTTGTGAAATTAAATTTGGGGGGAAAACATTGGCATTGGCTGTTGGCTTTTTTTTTTTTTAAATTATAGTCACTTTAACGCTCTTGGGTCATTCGTGACTTGTCCGGGGTTGAGATTAGAACTCGTGACTTTGGCGTGAGAGGTATGGATGCTAACCACTACGCCGGGGTCGCCCCCGTTTGGCTGTTGGCTTCGTACCACTCCAGGGCAACATTTGAATAGTAGCGCGTGTTCCCTTTGACTTGCCATTCGAATTCAAACGCCTTCAGATGACTATCAACAAGGCACAAGGATAGTCAACAATGAGACAGAGCGCAGTTTGCTGGGTCAGCTAGTATGATAATAATCGGTTTGGAAATTGGCTTATTTAAGTACACGATTGGTGAATGTTATCCACTTCATGTTTTCCAGGGCACTAATTTTATTATACAGTAGTTGTGTAGATCTTTTACTTCTATGCTACTATCCTGATTTAGGGCATTTTGCATTAGCAGTGCTGGATAAAGGCTTCTTAGCAATATCAATGCTGTTTACAGGCTTATTAGCACAAGTAATGCTGAAATAAAGCAAATTTAAGGCTTTGTCAGCGCTGCCAGAGTGTTTTCAAGCTTATCGGCATCAAAGGTTTTAAAAATCGGTTTTTATCGGTATTTACTATTTTAACCCGTAAAGTACCAGGACGAACGATTTTTTTTCAACAAAATCGTTCTCAGTAATGCCTTATCCGATTTTCATAAATTTTGATTTTTATTCAAGGGGAATAGTTGAACTAACTTTTGTCGTAGGTACCACCCCCTTAGAACCCTCCTGGTTCTTGGTAGATGTAAATATGTCTGTGTTTTTTGTACTTTTTTAACCAGTTTGACCAAATGTTTTAAATTTTCATGCGAATCGGTTGTCTGGTGCAGCAAATGATATCAGATAGATGAAATATGATTAGTAAGACTGAATGTACCGTATGCTTGATAATGTTTGCACCATTTAGCAATGTCAAAATTTAAAAAAATCTCAAAATTTTCGTTTTCGAGTTTTTTTTTATTTATTCAAAGGGGGATGTTTCTCAGAGTCTCTTGCTGCAATTACGGCCTCCACACGCTTCCGGAATGCATGGCAGGTTCTAATAATGTAGTCTGGATCCATTTCGCTCCAGGTACGGGTCAATGTTCGTTTGAGGCTTGCTGTACTCGGGTGGCGTTTGGAACAGGCCTTGGCCTTCATGATGCGCCATATTGAGTAATCCAGCGGATTAAGATCGAGGCTGGATGGCGGCCACATATCCTTCGCCCATTACGGAAGATGTTCCTGCAACCACTACTGAGTGCGGTTCGAGGTGTGTCACGGAGCCCCATCTTGTTGAAATACAACATTTGGCTTCGACCCGTACTGTTCTTTGATCCACGGAAGAACATACTTACTTAAAATCCCGATGTAGACCTCCGTTTTGACCTTGTCGCCTTCTGGAATGAACACCGGGTCCATTTTTTTTTTGCTATCGGAAGCCACCAATCTAAACACCATAACGCTAGCAGGATGCTTGGTCAGATACACGTTCTTGTGCTCGTTGGCCACGTCTTTTACCGGAAGAGAACTAATATACCGGTCGGTTCTTGAATTTGATACAGGATCGACGGTAAACATCGTTCGACTCGTAGCTCCCGGATGCGGTTGGTAATCATGTGAGTTTTTTTTCGGTGCCCTCGACTTCACTCCACAATCTTCCTTTACGATCTTCCGTGCCGTAAAGTCCCTGATCTCGTGTTCCTTTGCCATTTTCCTTATTGAACTCACAATTCACCCGAATCTTCCTTTTGATAGCAGCGATAACCCTCGGAACCTGAGCTGACCTCGGACGACCTGTGGCCACCTTCGCAGATAGTTGTCCTTTCTTTTCTCAGTCTAAAACCCTTTTGACGGTCCACCGGGACACTCCCACGGCGATTGAAATGTCTTTTTGCGACATTTGCGCGTGGGACGAATACGCTGCCACTTCGTCATGGTGCAACTGTCAAACTAAGTAAATCATTTTCTTTTATACACAGCCTACTACGGTATGAGCTATAGGTTATGTGCTTGCAAAGAAAACCAAGGCATTGTATGTACAGGTGAAACGGGAACCTTATTTGTATGGTGGTGCAAACATTATCACGCATACGGTAGATATTTCCATAACATATAACTACGATATTATCGGTTCCGGGAGTCCCGGAAATCGGTTCTGTAGGACATTGTAATATCTCAGGCAAAAGTATCTTGCGGCATGTCAAATCATGTCAAATCATGTCAAATAGGTAGAATCAAGTGAATGAAGATGATTTGAGATGATTTTGGCCAGTTTAGAATCGGTTCCGGAACGCGGATCTGTGAATTCCGGCGAACGGTTTGTTGGAATACATTGAGGTTATGATATCATATTATGCCAAAGCGACAAGTTATGATCAATGAAATCAGGTTGTAGTGTATCTGATGACATATGGGCACATTGGCATCTGTTCCAGGAAATCCGTGGAACTCGGTTTTATATCCCACAGTAACATTCGCGGTATAATAATCATGTTGCGTATCAAATCATGTTAGCATGATAAGATAAGGTCAATAAATATTATTTGTGATGATTCATTTGGCATATGGTCACATTGGTATCGGCTCCGGGATTCCGGAATTCCATTTCATAGATTCCGCAATACAATACGGTAAGGTATAATCATATTCATGAAAACCATATCATGTGGTGGTTCCAATCACGTAAATATGTCTGATGAAAACAGTGTGAGACGAATCCTGTGACACATGGCCACATTGACATCGGTTCCTGTGATCCTGAAACCCAGTTCTTTAGGCCATAGTCATATTGGAGGCAAATGAATCATACTGTAAATTCTGGATTATGAATTGGAATGATATATTCGAAGCTACTATATCGCGTGGTACGTAAAATTATGCATTTTCAACCGAGTTAAATATTATAATGCAAACAAAACATAAATCTGAGGACAGTAGCCACCATCCAGGATCTGACCCTGGTGCTCCAGAAGTAATTATAAACTAACGGTCCTATCTGCCCCGTAACGTGGGTAGATCACCTTTTTGTGGTACATTACGAGATGTAAGATCTACCACCGATTCCTAGTCTTGACTACTTCAAATTAGGGGAATTTTTTTTTTCAATAATCAAAGGAACACATCTTAGTTTTTTGTTACTTATTATGCCTTGTTGATAGTGACAAGGCTCGGCTTTGTCTACCGAGGATGATCTTGAAGGAAAAAATGAGTTAGTTTGTCTTCATGTCATTCCTAATCTTCTATTCGTTGTTCTCTAGTTTGAAGTGGTTAAGACAAGGGTTCTGATGCATGGTCATTATCAGTGTCATTGCTTAATTTTGTTGCTAAGGAATTCAATTTTGTCTGACAAAGGGGCACTTTGGAGAGTTTTTCAACACTCCGAAGGGTACACACAAAATATAATTTTGATATCACATCAATCCACATTCATCGTGTTAAAAATATGGTGTAAGTTTACTTGCCAAAAAGAACAAAATTATCATTAATACAGTGCATAAACTTCATTGCGCTGCTTGTGGCCATAAAAATTACATGAGATTTTCGACATGATGAAATGCATCCTCTTGGGTGTAATATTAAAGTTTATGTTTTGCCTGTCAACGGTAGTCGGCTCTAGAGAAGGAAGTAAACCGCAATTGCAGACGGGACAAGCGAGTGTGAGTGGACTACCTGACCGACTAGGGAGAGAATGCCGCAATAACCGACGATATCCACCTCCTCTGCGATATATCACGACGTCTGATTGGAGCAACGAATCCAAAGATGCGCAT